ATAACATGATTTCGTTGTCAAGCTTTTGAATCTTTCTATACTTGGTTTTTGATTGGTTATTCTAGCTTTTGTAACAATGTTTCCCCCTAATGTAGGAAACTTTTAAAACCATTTATTTTATTTTTAACATCATCACTTGATAAGACACCGAGGGTGTTGAAACAAAATGGCTATTTTTGTAGTGATTTTATAACATACTTATGTTATAATTTTTTTATAAATAATAATTATATCTGCTCTACTTTGTATTTGTATTTTAAGAATAGTAATTGTTGGTTATTGGAATTCATTCCGTATATACCAATTATATACTTGTGTGTGTATATATATATATATATATATGTGTGTGTGTATGTTTGTATATATATTTTTTAGATATATGTACATATATGTATGTGTATATTAACCACTAATATTATATATATATATATATATATATATATTTTTTTTTTTTAAAACTTTTTGTGTCCCCTGTTCGTGATTACTTGGACTAAAAATTTGTATGCACAACTATTTTAAAGACTTTTAAGGTCTGCTTTTAGTGATTAATTGTACTAAAAATGTACACTCGAGACTGTTTTTTAAGAAGTTTTTGCCTCCCTGTTAGTGACTACTTGGACTAAAAATAAACATACAAGATTATTTTTAAGAACTTCTAGGGCACTCTGTTCATGATTACTAAGGATCTGGATTAGCATTGTAGTATATTATGAATCAAATCACTCACTAAAATCAAATGTTTTGGAATTTTCAAAAATATGTGAGAAAAACAAACCATTCCAGCATACTATGGATAAGCAGAGAAAATGTGGTGTCCCTAATAGCTGTCCTTGAATTATGCAATGGCAGCTAAGTGGATCAAAAAAAGACATTTTGATATTTTTTCTAGTAAGATACAATTAACATTTACACAAATGCATGCAATGCTGATTATGTTGTCTTAATTATTTTGGTTGGACTTTTGTTTCAGGTCTGCTCCCACATTGTTCAGGCCATCAAAAAAGAAACAAGGCGTGTCAGGGATGAATGGGAAGCTAGCCTTCTCAATAAAACTCCAAACACATCAGATGAAACAAGGTAAAATCATCTTTTCTCTTTTCTTCGTTCCTTACAAATGTCTTTTTGCAGAAACTATTTCATTAAAATTGGATTTGTTTGCGAAGTGTTTGTTCTTTTCACTGTCACATTGCTGATTGACACATTGTATCCTAGAAATCATAGAAATTCAGCTAATGAGAAAAGTTGCATTATTAAATGTTTCCATTAATTGTTTTCTTCTGCTACCATTGCAGATCTTCTGATGTCTACTGCTTTGAATTATTGTCCATGGTTCTTGCTTTGAGTGGATCTTCTGTTGGTCGTAATTATCTGGCCCAACAGACAGGACTTCTGCAGGATTTGTTTAGTCTTCTGCACACAGCATCCCCAAGGGTGCAGAGACAAGTAAGTACCAGCTTTACTTAATCTAGATTTCATCCATTATAAAATTGCCTTGAATTTACTTGTTTTGTTGTAACAGGATCCAAGAATGTAAAAAAAAAAAAAAAAATAGGTTTTTATAGTAAAATACCAGTAATACATTTTTGAAAATGAATTATTACCAGCAATACATTTTTGAAAAAAAAATTTATTACCAGCAATAAAAATCTGTCTGTGTTTTTAATATAAAATATTAAAAAGATAAATCCATAAAGAGAGTTCAATGTATTTATATAGAGAGCAATATGATATACATCAAAGGAAAAACTTAATGATGCATTAAGCTTTTCCTTTGGTGTGTGTGTGTATGTATGTATATATATATATATATATATATATATATATATATATATATATGCACACACACACACTTTTTTCTCACTGATACACAATTCTGAGTTTCATGCACAATGCAATCTTCAATTGCTATTGAGAAAAAAAATGTGTATTTATTATTAATATATAAACTATAGCTCTGGAGCACCTCACGGTGGTGTAATGGTTTGCAAGCTTGTCTTGCTAGAAAAAATATGACTTAGTAGTGAGTTCAATCCTCACTGGGTGCCCCCATACTTTCGGCCTTGTGCCACATCTAACCTATGCTTGGAAAATAACTATAAGCTATAGCTCTGTTATTCTACATCAAGCATTATTTTATTAACCTTTAACATTCTGGAGGTTATTTTGTCATATTTCTGGCACTTAAAAGAAATCAATAAAACACCTACAGTAAAATGGAAATTAATAAGAAAAGCTAGAATATGTAGGTCATTAAATGACCCATGTCCTTTGTGCATACATGAGAAACTATATATTACAAAGATTATAAAAAATAAAAATTTACTGAATTAAAGAAATGAAATAGCTATTCTTGCCAACATTGTCAAAAATTTTCCTTAAATAATATTTAAAAAAAAAATAGGAGCTGGTAATATACATACTTATATTTGATATGTAATAATAATTTTTAAATAATTTAAGTAATTCTATTACATTTACTTGATTTAAAAAGAAATATAGTCTACTAGTAATTAAGAGTAAAAATAATATTTTAAAACTGTAGTTAAATATAACGTATTCTAACCCAAACACCCCTTTTAGAAAGAATCTTTAAGTATACCAGTATGGATTTAACAGAAAAATACTGAAAAACTTTTTGTCATTAATAATAATAAAAAAAGACGACACGTGTTTAATGGATGTCAAAATTTGTTGAAAAATACACCCCTACCCTCCCTAAACTTAACCTATTTTTTGAACCTAACTCATAATTGATACAACAATAGTTAATAAAAATGAACATGCTACCACTCCTTGTCTAAATGATTGGATTTCTCTGTATCCTTGGAAACAAGAAATTATAAATTTATAGGTGTGTTTAAAATTCAGTAAATTTAAAAATAAGTTATTCCAAAATATCGCTTGAAGATGAAACAGAACTAATGATTTTAATTTAATTACATAATTAAATTTGAAGTTTTTAGCTTTGGTTTTTGAAACATGGTTATTATTGTGTAGTGAAGAAACCCTATTTTAAATCAGTTATTTTATATATCCAAATCAGAGAAAGAACATATGGAGTAAAATTCCACTGTTTGTAGCATTTACTTTTAAAAAAGTGCTCAATACAAAGTAGAGCAATATATTATTATTTTTATTATAAGAGATTATAATAAAATATTCTGAAATCGCTACACAAAAGCTTTCATGTTTCAATCAAAGTATTGAAACATGAAAGCTTTTGTGTAGTGATGTCAACATGTTTTTATTATAATCTCTTATAATAAAAATAATATATATAATTTCTAGTCTATTGTCCATACTGTATTGATGGAGATATGTTTTTATCAAATCTAATGAAATTCCCCAACCTGTTGTGGGTATGTGAATGATACGAGGATCTGATATTAAGAAAATATGGTATTAAAGTTTTTCTTGATATTTTCCAAACTTTCACAAAGGTTTTGAGTCTTCAATGTCCATCATCTCTCCTTCATTTTTTTTTGTTTTTAATAGACCTTAAAAAGTAATAGTTTAACATCATCATTCTGTAAATTTCAAATAACAATGTTTCAATTCCTCTCCAAGTACTATTGTCCACTTCTCCTCAGTATATCTTAGTTGATTAAATTGCCTTGTCAGTGATCTCGATTCTCATATGGATGTCCTACATGGCGTCCAACTCATTCAGAAATGTCTTTCATTGATATTCAACCATTTTCTCAGATCAGTCATGAAAAATGGCTTTAAGTAGATTGAATCCTTTCTGTTTTCAAGAAGATAATTTTTCATCAGACTTTAGACCGATTCTACAGAATCACAAAGAGCTTTATCAAATAACAAAAACCACATCATTTGAGGACTTCCAACAGCAGCAACAATAAAAATGGGTAGTATATGTAACTAAAAGAGAAAATAATGATATTATAAAGATATTGGCTTTCTCCACCACTTTAAACAAAAGGTTTGGAAGGAAACTATAATATACAAGAAAATCATTCTAATGTACCAGAAAATAGAAAACAGTGGATGTGAGTAATCTGTTTACTTGAAAAACTGTTTAAAAAAAAAAGAAAAGTTTTTATAAATTTCAGCTGACAGTAATGCTAACTGTTTAGTCAAAGAATATTGAATGTTTCCTCTATGAAAATGGCTTATTTTACCATTACCATTATTAATGTTTTTCCTCCTCTTTTCTCTCCAAATTACAGGTGACTTCAGTGATTAGACGTGTCCTTCCTGATGTTCAGCCACAAGCCTTAGCTGATTTGCTTCTTGTGCCAAGTTTGCCGCCAACCGACTTCAGCATCCTACACTCAACGAATCGTGAGCCTGTAGAGGAAGAATTTGATGCTGAGAAGCCATGCGTCCTTGATGTGTTCCTGGCTTGCATCAGTAAAGCCCTTACAGTGCAGACGAAGATCAAGAGTAATCAATCACAAAAAGGCATCACAACTGTCACTTTGTCTGACTGTTTGGCAGAGCTGAACTCAAGCAGGTAAGGGGATAAAAAAAACAAAAAAACAATTGTAACTTGGACACTGGGGGGGTTTATTCCCCAGGCAGCACCTTTTCATTGACTGAGGTGCCCAGGTATCTTCATTTTTGTATTAATTGCAGATACAGAATTTGTATCTATATATTAATACTGTAGCATCTACTTAACTATCTTCTTATGTAAAGTGTGCATCACACTGCAAAAGAAAAAAAGAATAGTATAAGTTTTACCTACTTTAAAAGATCAAGGGGGTAAAGGAGTGATAGAACTCAAGACTGTATGGCTTTTTTTAATTGCTATACCTTTTTTCACACATTTTTCTTTCTTGCTTCATACCTTCTGCTTATTTCTGTGTCTTACTCTTTACAGTTATGTTGCAATGTGGTAATAAATACATAGACTTGGGGTGCTGAAATATTTGGGGGTCCAACCCAGAAGTGATTTAAAAAAAAAAAAAAAATTGCCAAGATTTTTGGAAGTGGATTGGGCCAAGTTATCTATCACCCTCCACCATTTTCACCATCATCTTATACACACACACACACACACACACACACACACACACACACACACACACATATATATAGTTTGATTGATGTGCATTTACCCTGGGATTCACACTCTCTGTGACCGTCAGACAAATTGATTAATTTGTGAAATTTTGGATTTATTTATAGTTGCGTATATCCAACTAAATATGTCAGCTCTATTACTATATTGAGTGATTTCTAATAAGTACCACATATATATATATATATATATATATATATATATATATATATATAGAGAGAGAGAAAATTTTTGAGGAAAGAAAAAAGTTTTTGTGTGATACATTTGCATGTTGATGCAACTACTTATGTGCACAAAATAAGAGATGCTGGGAAATTAATTTTTTTTTTTTTATATATATATATATATATATATATATATATATATTTTTTTGGTTTATAATTTAGCTAATCTCATTTAGATTCTTTTTCTTTCCATTACTTTTGTTATTAAATATCCAATATTTTGATAGAAAATCTGCCAAGAATTGTGAAATGCTCTAAGAACCTGGATGCAAATTTACTGTGGATGAAATATATACATACATATTCTAATTAACATAAAAAGTTTACTCTTTTGAAAACCCTGCATGTGGCCAATGTGCAGGTCTTTTTTGTTTTTTAAGAAACAGTATTCTATTGTTTTTTAATTTTTTTATAATTATCGCCATCATTTTTTTTTTTTTTAAATTCTACTTTTTTTTTTCTTTAAATTCTAAATTTTTTGACCCTTTAAATGATTTTCTGACCACCCTTTTAATTAAACACCCCCTGTTTATTGAATATTGAGAAAAGTCCCCCCCCCATTATTGAGACCTTTTATTAGACAAGACTACTGTGCTTCTTGTATGTGCTGTGTCCCTTCAGGACATGAGTTATCATGGCTCTCTACAACTTCCTATCTTTTACTGTTGTTAGTAAGGTTTATCTTTTTGCTTATATATTAATCCCTATTCTGCCAACCATTTACATAATCTTGTTACATAAGATATTCGTTGCTTTCCTCTGTCTCTCTTGTCTTCAAAGTATTCTAAGAGTGTCCAATTCTCCAAGCTCACTTCCTCATTATGTACCTTAGAAATTTCAATTCTTTCTGATTTTAAGTATCCTTTTTGTTTCTATTTACCTTAAGACTTCATCATTACTCGTGTTTGGTCCATGATATTCTGTAGAAGCACATGTCTGTTGATTCAAGCCTGTTCTTCATCTATGAGGAGATTGTCTAGTTTCACTGCCATATTGGAGGACTAAACTTACATCACATTTCAGCACACTTTTCTTTGTTTCTAACAAAATTTTCTTGTTTCGTAATACTTTGCTTAGCTTTGCTTTTAGAAAATGTCTTTTGCTATTCCAATATGGTTTTGGATTTTGGTGTTAAATGTTACATCTTTTGTTAAAACAATACTAGATATTTACTTTTTTGTACTTAGTTAATTCTGACCTGTCCAATTCATAGTTTCCAACTTGGGCTCTTCCTTTTGCAGACAATCATACATTGTCTTCTTACAATTGATGTTTAGTTTTTTCACTTTCTTTCACTAATTTTTGTAAGAGTTCTTGTAGTTTCCTTTCTGTGTCTGCTATCAACACTGTGTTATCTACGTATCTTATGTTAAGATTGTGGCTTTTAATAAGGAATCCTGATAGGACTTTTCATTCTTTCATGATCGCCTCATTTTAGATGTTGAATAAGAAAATATAATCTTGTCTTACATAGCTTTCTACTTTTGTTTATTTACTGAATTCATTTTCTATCCATATGCAGGCCGTTTGCACTCAGTATAGGTTCTGGATTATTCTAATATCTTTCCCAAATTAATCAACAGGTAATCATAAAATGTTTTAGTCACAGATTTCAAGGGAGACAAACCATGTTTGCACACAGGTAAATTATCTTGATTATCTCCCTTCCTTTACTGTAGGTTAATATTTGAATGTATGCTGTTTAGTACAAGTATATGTATATATGAATAAGTATATCGTAATTTCGTCTTTTGTTTTTGTTTTTTAGGGCGACAGGTCCACGGTGGTGGCTGCGTGGACGAATGACAATGTGTCAAGCGGGTAACATCATTGCATTACTGCAAGATATGGCAAAGGTAAGATAACAGTATTTATTTGATAGGTTTTATCACAAGTGAACAAAGGATTCTTTTTATTGCCATATAAAAATTGATGTAAAAATGAAAGAAATATTTTAATAGAAAAAACGTGGTATTTACACTGTTTATTTTGTTCAGACCATTGTCCTCATCTTTGTCATATTCACAATGTTTCAGCTGTTGCATGTTCTTGCCTTCTTCAGGGGATATATGTTGGAATTTCAAACCAAACACTTTATTTTTCCACAGGGTTAGATTGTTCTAGTTTCACATGCCATGCCCTTTCTGGATATTTCATTTTCAGTTAATTACATTTTAGCATCTCAACTCTCCAAGTTTTTGTTCACCTCTTCTGTGACGAGGTATCAAACGCACAACTCTTTGGGTCAAGTCACTGGATTACTTCAGTCAATGCTTTTATCCACTGGGCCATGTAAACAGTGTAAATCGTTACAATACCTTACCTCAGAAATATAGTATAGACAGAGAAAAAACAAGATATGAAAATTAAGAAAAAAGATAACTTTTATATTAGGTTGTTTGGAAAATAATGTCCGATTTTAGAATAAACCTTTTGTATGCTAATATAATAGTTTTACAAAAATATATATTACTCATACACTATTTACATTATTCGGACTATTGTTTTCATCTATGTCGCCATGTTTATCACAATGTTTCCACTGTTGTACGCTCCGGCCTTCTTCAGGTGGTCGGAATGTCGAACTGAATCCTTTATTTCACTCACTAGTTCCATGTGCCATGTCTAATGGATATCAGTTATCTCCTGTTATTTCCCCTCTGAATGTTCTCCACTCCCTTAACCAGGTATTGAACTCGCACTCTTTGAGTTCTGTCACTGGATCTAACTAATGCCTTTATCCACTGTGCCATATGTCCTTGAGGACATCTGTCTATAAATTTCTCGGCATCTTAAACCTAATGTCTTCAGCAACCATTTTTAACCATTGCTCATATTGCAATTTTTGCTGTTATCATTGCATGTTTTTACCAGAACTCATATTGCAATGTTTGTGGTTATTGTTGGTTTTCTCTGGCACTCCTTATTACTGGTTCCCATATTGTATTCATTTCTATGCTTGTTCGGCTCAGGAGATTTTTATGGCCTAGCATATGTGCTGATTCCTTAAGTTTACAAATTTTTCAATGATGCTCTTTATCTATGATCTCAACCTGATACTACAGAGGGTGGTGATCTCCCTTTTCTCTCCATATGTGGTCAGCCATACATGATTTTTCAACTTCCCCTTGTGTTACAGCTTTCTGGTGTTCTTGAAGCCTTACCTTGAGGGGATGGCCTGTCTCCCCTTTATATTTCTTTCTGAAGCTGCACGGAATAGCATACACACAGTCTTTAGTCATGTTCTCCTCTATGGGGGGGGGTCTTACTTGGGAGAGATATCTCAGAAATATAGACAGATACTGAAAGTCAAAGAGTTTGACATTTTGAAGTGTTTTCCATGCTGCATTTGAGAAATTCAAATGATCCATTTCTTGATTGAATAGTGACTTATAATGAGAAATGGATCCTTTTTTACAATTATAAATGATCAGCTCAATGGCTGGATCATGATGAAGAGCATGTAAACAATTTTCAAAACCAAAATAGCACCAAGAGAAGATGGTGACTGTCGGGTGGTTGGTCATTGGTGTTATCCATTACAGTTTTCTGGAATCTAACCAGAGCAGCACTGCTGATGTTCACTGCCAACGACTGGATGAAATGCATGTTCAATTAAGCAAATTGTTTCCGCCACAGTTTAACCAATGTGGTCCAATTCTGCTTCATGAAAATACTTAGCCACAGGTTGCCAGGATGAAACTACAGAATTTCTTTGACTTGGGATATGAAACTGCCATGTCTCATCATATTCCCCTGATCTCTTTTGTGAATGGACTCTGCCACTTTTTCAAGTGTCTTGACAATTTTTTTTAAGCCAAAAGACATTCTGTTGCAAAGAAGATGCAGAAATGGCACTCAAAGAGTTCTGCTATTCCAAACATTTAGAGTTTTATCATTATTACCTAAACATTGTTAAAATATATTAACTCAGGAATAAAAGTTGATTTTTAAATTGGACATTATTTTCCAAACAACCTAATTGAAAAATGTAATAGTTTCATAGAATTTATTCACTTATTGTTGAATGATTTGAATTTTGAAAAATTTATAAATTTTGTCTTCACTCTCAGAATATTCTGTTGCTGTATTGTATGACAACAAAACTTTACCATTCTTGTCTAACATACAAGTAATTTTTTGCTTTTTTGTTTTAAAGCTAAACTTGGTTTAAAACTTGTTCATTATTTAATATGAAATTTATTTATTTAATTACAATTTGTAATTAAGATTTTATGATCATGTGAGTAAGCCACTTAGAATTGCCAGTGAATAACAAATTGCCATAACCCATTTACAATATGGTAGTCTACAATGTATATATATCTATATTTTTAATTTTTAGGGTCATTTGTCTGAGGCGTGGGCTGCTGTCAGCAAAGCAGCAATAGCAGAAGCATTGTTAGCATTGACAAAACTTGAAGAATCTTTACGTCTACCTCAGGCCTGCATGAAAACTCCCACAGTAAGAGCTTTGTTTGTTTTTAATTTTTTTAGATTTATTTTTTATAAAATCACTCAATACGAAGCTCGAGAGCCACTCAAGGTAGAGGATTACTTCTAAAATGATTGATAAATGAGTTGTGATATGAATGAAAGAGGAGGTAGTAAGAAGTGAAGGTTATGATGATAAGGAGGATAGATAATGATTGACCCTTGACTTGAAGTGGTTAATAATGTAGTGTTCAGGGAAGAATCCCTCCAGAAATCTGTTCCACAAAGTAGTTGTCCTTTGGTGGGGGGAAAGATGTGTGAGACTTCCTTCTTACATTTGGAATATGATAGAAATTAGGGTGATTCAGTTTTCAGAGGAATGGGCTAATACAGAAGACTTTTTTATTTTCTTATTAATTTTAGAGTAATTTCCATGTTGACAATATATGAAAAAGATATCAAAATATATATCGGAAAAACTTTAAATGAATGAAAAGATAGAAAACAGTTTTTGTTTTGAAATGAATGTTTTTAAAGTTATGGTTATAAAAAAATGGGGCAAAGTTTAACAAATATAATTGCAAAAAGAAACAAAAAAAATAGTGTGTCAAAATGATGATTTTTCTCTTGACACCAGTCAGGGTGGTAGTACCTGTTAGGGTCCCAGCTATGAGCAAATAGTGAACTCCCAAAAAAAACAAAACACTGAAATTATAAAAATACATTTTTATAGTAAAAATACCAATAATACATCTTTATATAAAAAAATTACTAACATTAATTATTTGTAGTAAAAGTACTAACAATACCTATTCATAGTAAAATTACCAACAATACCTATTCATTTCAAAATATATTTAGTTGAAGCCATAAAATTGTGTTCAAAATATTTAGATTTCAGCATTAAATACCTCATAGAGGTGTTATGCCTCTAAACAAACTCAACCAATGAACTTGATACCACAATGACTGTATAGTCCCTGAATTAAGCTTAATTTAAATAAACACATAATGGTGAGTAACTAATTATAAATTTTGAGAAAATGCAATTTCCAGAAATTTCTCTCATTAGTTTTCACCACACATATACACTGAAATAGATTGCAGTATTTTTCAAAATTTATAGTTACAGTTATTCATTGTCATGCATTTATTTAAATCTTATTTTATAGTTTAGACATTTTTATAAATTTATGAATAAAAAAAAATGTTTTCATATTTCTTTATAATATGGTAAATAATAAATACGCTATTGTAGGTGCTTCACATAATTTTATGATCTTGTAAATAAATAATCTAATAACAGTATTTAACATTTTTGTTATCAATTCTGTTTTAAAATAAAGCAATGGTGTATTGGGGTTGGAGGAAACACTTATACCAATTGTTCTCTTAAGAATTACTACAGGGTAACAGTCAGAGAAGGGAAAGAGATGGGAGGAAATAAAATAAAACTGAGTAATGAATAGTAAGGGCACTGCCTCAGAAACCACAGTATAGAATGCGGCATGCAACTTCCAAAACAAAATGCACCAAGGGAATATCTTCCCAGCCAATGTTGGCTGCTTGTTTTCCCATTGCTTTTATTATGATGAGACAGTTGAAAATGACCTGGATCTGGACAAGTTGCAAAGAGGCCTATATCTGGATATGCCAAGCTATTCTGCTACTAATTGAGAAAATCCGGATGTGACCAGCTTTGATGACATGATGCCACATGACATTTTTGTGTCTTTACTGGTACATGTTTGCCACAAATTCTCAACAAAAAAAAATGTACAAATACAGTTTCATATGTTCGGATTTTATTAAAATTCTGAAAATATCTTTTTAAAACAACAAAAATTCCTGAGGGAATATACAGTAAAAACGGTGTCAAGATAAAATCCATTCTTTTTTGTGTATTTGTTGATACTTTGCCATAGATTGCAAAAAGATGTCCCATGAAATACATTGGTGTAACCTAAAAGAATGTAGAAGCATAAGAGAGATCTTTTAGATAGCAATTCACACAAAGCATTAACCTAGCGTCATAATAAATCTTATCATTATTTTGGCTTAATTAAAAAAAGAAATTTCATTATGATGAAAGTATTTTAAAAGTACACTAATTTTGGAATTTGCTTTGGTAAATTTACACCCAGGATCATACAAGATATTTCTGTTCTTCATGCAGTTGTAAATATCTGCACTGATAAAATTTCTCAATACTTAAGAATTTATTTTGTAAAACCTGCAAGTATATATAAAAAAAGAAAATATTTTAAATTTGAGTTTTATTTTCATTATAACATTATTGATGATTATTTTCTCATCATCAGCTTTGGTTGGCATTAGCATCTTTATGTGTCCTTGACCAAGAACATGTGGAGCGTCTTTCCTCAGGGGAATGGCGTAGCAGTCCTGACAATCAGCGAGGTCCGCCTCGGGTAAGCACAAATTTTTATCTCTTCTCTCTCTCTCTCTCTCTCTCTCTATATATATATATATATATATATATATATATATATATATATAAAAACAAGTACACAGCCAAAATATTGTCAAGGCTCAGCTGTATTTGATTTCAAAACAAATTTTCCGGTTGGTTTGTCTCTGGCTCATTAACCATAATGACTTTTAAATTTTAACACCTCTAAAACAAAAGTATCATTTTAATCATCATACAGAACCATTCTTGTCTTTCATCAGTATGGCTGATGCTAACCTCCAGAAGAGCAACTCATTGTTCCTTCTTGGTCTCATGAATCAATAGCTAGGTCTGCTGCTAAGAAGCTAGAAAAGATGTCTCTGGCTCATTAACCATAATGACTTTTAAATTTTAATGAGTCTAAAACAAAATTATGTGTTTAATCATCATACAGAACCATTCTTGTCTTTCATCAATATGGCTGATGCTAACCTCCAGAAGAGCAACTCATTGTTCCTTCTTGATCTTATGTTTTCTACTGAAATGAAATGGAAGGATTATATTGAATCAATTGCTAAGTCTGCTGCTAAGAAGCTAGAAAAGATGGATCCAATAATGGTATACCCTAATTTCCAGTAATTGGTTCTATAAAGGCAAGTAATCTTTAGGAATCTATTCTCATTATTTTCTTTTCAACCTGAGAATAGAAACAAATCACTTGAGAGTATAAAAAAGAATTACAAAAACATTTATCTATAAAGATATTTCCAGATTGAAATTCTATTCTCATCATATTTCTGTTCTGAATTATGATGCTTTTTGAGTGTTATCAGCTGTGTTTATGATTTCTTAGCCATATTTGAACTGAATCACAGCAGTCTCAAAGATCCAATGGAAGACTAATCAAATTTACGTCTAGAAGATTTGTCACATTTTTAACTTCAAGATGATTTCTTTAGCCAGAATAAATTATGTTCATCACAGTAAACCCTTTTTCAGCCTTTGCAGAACTTACAGCAATGGTATTCATTATATTTTTAGCTATTATATATCAGCTATTAATATATAAAATTATTTTTGTTTAATTCAACAATCAGTTCACTAAGCTTTTAAGAATCATTTCATGTGAACCATAAGGTGTTAATAACGAATAAACGTCCATGGGTATTTGTGTAAAAGGGATTATAATGAACTCTACTGGAATTTGAACTTGTCTCACAGATTTCTCTTTCTAAGTCACTAATCATTGTACCACCTGCACATTTAATCTCTATTGATGGGTTGGTGAGGTTTGTGATACTGAAAATTGAAATATATTTGCAATAAGATTAGTGCATAATTATTAGCTGTGTATATTATATATGCTTAATATAACTCAGTGATACATGTACTAAGAGGTGTAATTTTTGTTGTTGTTTCAGCCTACCTGTGATAATCATGATGATGGAGAGACACCTGCTATCATTCTCTGTAACATGTGTGGTAACTTATGTGCAGATTGTAATCGCTTCCTTCACCTGCATCGACGGACTCGAGCTCATCAGAGACAGGTAATGACTTTCTACATGCTGCTTCTTCTCACAAAGATATGCTGATAAATATTCAAATAACACATACGAATTAATTGAAGCGTAAAAAGAATGCAGGGAAACTTTTTACATTGTTTGAACTCATCTTCAATGCTACATTCACAACATTTCTGGCCTTCTTCAGCTGATTGGAATTTTGAACTGTCCACTGGAGTAGATTGTTCTAGTTCCATGTGCCATGCCTCTTCTAGATGTCTCAGTTATCTCCCTTTAACTCAACTTTCCAAGTTTTTGTTCACCACTGCAGTAATCAGGTATTGAACTCACAACGCTTTGGGTTAAGTCAATGGATCCAACCAATGTTTTTATCTACTGGGCCATGTGTCCTTGAGGACATCAGTGTATGAAGTTTTGGAACTTATAAATTTAATCTTTTCTTAATTTCTTTTATTTTCATTGTTTCTTTTTTATTTAATTTGTTGTCTTTAACAAACAGTGAGTGGTTTTGAAAATCACTTGAATAATAGTATATATATATATATATATATATATATATATATATATATATGTGTGTGTGTATACAGAAATACTCCAACTTGTGTGGCTATGTATGTATAGTGGGTTATCCCACTTGAATTCACCAAAAACGTCTGTTAGGTGGTGCTATTTAAGTCTATAAAAAGTCAGATCTCTCCTTCTCTTTTTCTTTTTCCTCTTGCTTCCAGATGTCGAATATAGATAAAGAATGCTCTTGCTAGGGCGTGTTCATTTCCTTGATCTATTGACTATTGAACTCTTGCATACATGTGTATCACACATGTTTGTTACACACACACACACACACACACACAAAAAGCGCATTCTTATAACTAGTTTTAATGTCTTTTCTTTTGATTTCAGTTGTGTATGCATGCAATTCCTTTTGTTAATAATATGCATCAAGTGTCATGTATTTTAAATTCCATGTTTTGTGTACTTGTTTTTACCCATACTCACATGAGTCTGCTAATATTGTTTGTGGGACAAATATTCTAAAAGCAGTAAACATTACTAAAATAATGTTCACACCTCGCAACAAAGAGGTAGCTCCCACAACAATATACATTTTTGTCTGTGCGTGTAACCACACCTGAAACAAACTTAGAAACAAAACTTAACAGAAAGAGCAATACAGGTGATAACTCCCTGAAATAACGGTCAGTATAAATAACAGAAAAAAAAAACAACATAAGAGATTTTATAAAAGTGATTGAGTGATAAAAAATGTGGTATATGGGAAACATATCAAGAGAAGGACACCAGAGGAATCAGAAAATTGAGTTAATAGTAACCAGTAGATGACAAATGCTGTAGTAGATCAGATAAAAGATGAAGAGATGAGATAGAAAGACATGAGGCAAGTCTTATTAGACTTCCTTCCATGACAACTGTGACTATGTTATTCTCTGCTATATCTTACCAACAAACCTTTTCTATCAATATATTGTGTGTGTATGTGTGTATATATATATATATATATATATATATATATATATATATATATATTTATTTTGAACTTGGTTCTTTGATTCTTCAATCTGAGCCACTATCCACTACTCCATCGTGCCTCCTTGTAATGGATTCAACTTGAATTCAATTCCAGTCGAATCCATTACATTCACTTACGTGCTAAAACCCTTGGAAAAGGTATTAATCTTCTTCTCCTCCAGCTATAGGTAAACAGACTGGGTTCTGGCTGTCAGTTTCTAGGAACTGATCTGCTTGACCCTCACATGTTGCAAATGACGGGAGAGTCCACTATATATATATATATATATATATATATATATATATATATATATATATATATAGAGAGAGAGAGAGAGTGTCAACCAAAAACCAGACATTTATTAGTACAGCAAACTACTGCTTTGGCAACATTCGGCAAAGTGTCCAGTAGGATTGCTTCACATAAATTTTCAACGTCCTCTTTTTAGATAAACAGTGTTATCGCAATTTGGTAAAACTATGAAAGACAAGTTTTTCCTTTCCTTAATTGTGTATACAAATTTTTGTTGAGTTGTCTTGAGTATGTAGGCCAGTAGACATCATTCACACTGTTTAAACACGCCCCCAAATGCAGTCTATTTCAAACATGAGTATCGACTAAAAATAATGTTTGAAGTAATATATAAAATATGTGAAGTATGTGTGTGTGTATGTATATATATATATATATATATATATATATATATATATATAGAGAGAGAGAGAGAGACAGATCTGTCTCCAGGACAGACAACAGTAAAGGTCATGCTTTATGATTATTTGGAAAAAATTTTGGGAAGTTGGTCACGGCTTAGAACTTTTTAATAGCTGCTTGTGTGGACACACGCACAAATAGTTTGATATGTAGAGGTCGCATTTATGAACCTCTTTCAGTATTTTTCAATTTTAACAATGAATTTGTTTTTTTCCTACAGGTCTTCAAAGAGGAAGAAGAAGCCATCAAAGTTGATCTGCATGAAGGCTGTGGCCGAATGAAACTTTTCTGGCTTATGTTATTGGCCGATTCTAAATCCTTAAAAGCAATGGTGGAGTTCCGTGAAGGTAGGTATCCGCTAACTTGGCTCAGGATAAAATATACTTTCTTGGAAATTAATATCACAATTTTTTGAGCAGAATCAAGTGAATACTAATGAAGTTTTGTTTTATACAGAAAAGCAAGATTTAGAGAAATTTCCCAAATTAATGCAATTTTTAAAACTTTTTCCTCAGGAAAAGTGGGTGCTCCTCCTGCAGGCTCCGGTACTTGCCGATTCTGCGGAACATCCAGTAATACCGGTTTGTTGGCAATTGGTAATGTCTGTTCCGATGCTGAATGCCAGGTAACATTTCATTTCATGCCTGTATGTATTCACACACACACACACACACACACACACACATATATAGGGTGTTTCATTAAGATGGATCAAAGTCAGCAGTAAATAAATCAGTGTTATTGGTGAAAATTTATTTATTTCTCTATTGGATCATGTTATTTAACTTATGGCAATTATGTATGAAAAATAATATCTCCCAAATGCCCACCAAGGCTTTAGTGGCACACCTCCACTTGATGGTCAAAATTTTTGATGATGTCTTTGCATAGCTTCTTCTTGATCTCACCAATATGCCTTATTATCTCATCCTTCAGCTGTTGAATTGTGGTTAGCTTGTTGGCATAGACCTTACTTTTGAGATGACCCCAAAGGAAGAAATCTAAAGGCATTGTTGCACAATTGTGGTGGCTAATTGACTTTGCTGTTTTGAGAGATGATGTAACCTGGGAACTTCTCATTCAATAAAGCCATTGTTGCATTGACTGCGTGGCATGTGGTGCTGTCCTGTTGGAACCACAAATCTTTGACATATATAACATTCAATTCAAATTGAAATTGCCAAAGACTTAAGTTGTTAAATCTGAAAGAAAAAGAAAAAATATCATTAGATGCTTAAACTTAATTCTCATTTAAAATCGCTCCAAGTTATTGGAACACCCTTTATATAAAATTTCCAAAGAATTATATGGATCCATTTTTAATCTGGCATTTTTATTACTTCAAATATTATTTGTGTGTTCTATATATTTGTATGCTCTCTGTCATATATATGCCTACGTCTGTAGTGCAACTTAAAGTTTCATGGTTTTCCCAAGTTGCCAGGCACAAATATACTCACCAGTTTGTGCCTGATGACTTGGGAAAACCATGAAACTTTAAGTTGCACTTTGTAGGTATATGCATATTTATTATTATATACTTTTTGAGCACTGTTTTGTTTACACCTTATATTAAATTAAGTAAATATTTATTCACTTCTTATACGGTTGCTA